CCGTCCGTTCCAGTGTGTAGAACGGACGGTCTGCCTAAAACGTGGACCGTCCGTTCCACCACGTAGAACGGACGGTCTGCGTGCTAATGTGGAACGTCCGTTCCAGTCTCCAGAACGGACGGACCACACGTCTGGACCGTAGGGTCTGGACCGTCCGTTCCGAACCTTTCGGTCCGTCCGGTCTGGACCCTTCCGCCTCGGTTTTCCGTCGTTTTCTCTCGTGTATTCGTCCTTCCCTGCGTGTGTGACCCTGTAGGCTCATTCGACATAGCAGTATAGTCCGAAATCTCTATTCCGGATGTACAAGTCATAGGCGGTCTCTAGCAAGACACTATGACTACCTATCTCGAATAGAGTTTGTTCGTGATCTTTACGAACGCCAGAGATTATTCCGGTTGATGATCCTTTTGTATCATGATATCATATGTCGAATATAAGGCATGAACACGCCACCTTATCTGATTCGACTGCTTTCTCGTTCACTGAGTTCGACTGTCTGAAATAGACGACGTTCGTCTATAGTGCGGTCACACATTTCTACAGTCTCGCTCACACGAGGGGCCCAGCGATATCTCTCTCTTTTACGAGAGGTACAAATCTCGTCTTGACTATCTACAATCCAGCACATGATTCGTTTCGTACGTGATACACGCCTTTATAGTCCTCCTGTTACGCAGGACGTTTGACGTATTCAAAGCACGCAACTCCTCATGTTGGATTCTGTAGATATCTCAGGTCTTAGGATCCAATCATGGAACCGCCATATGAGATTCAAGTCATGACGCTAGTCCATGTGACAATCTCATGCGGGTCAATCCAGTATTCCGTTCTCCAACGAATACCTATGATTGTGATCGTATCCAATATCTATGATCATCTATATGATCATCAATCACACATCATACTAGTCTTATTATGTCGTTATTCCCATAACGACACAAGACTAGGGAGTTTAGTATCATTCATAATGATACACAGATTTCATAACAGATCTAGTATGCTAGAACATGTAATGAATCAAATACTCTCATATAAACCATAGAAAGTATCAATACATCGAATGTATCTTAACAAAGCTCATAAACAGTACATCATAGAGCACTAAACCAACACATACGTGTGAAAAATCTGGTTCAATTCATCTGTTGAGGGCTAAAATAAGGTCTATACACTGTAAGACTGTATAGTTTTATTTTATATGAACGTTTTAGAGGCGGATGAAACAACTAATTTACGAACACAAAGTTAGATTGGTCCAAAGTGTTTCTAAAATACTACTATCACTTATGAGATTCGTTTTATGATTATAGTTTTCGATCGGATAATGATCATAAACTTTCGACCGCAATTTCTTTTCCAAACCTTTTCTTTGGTCGTACATTACGCTCTGAAAGTTTTGAATTCTCGAAATTTGCTCAGTGTGACCAGTGTGACCATCGGGACATGCATACGTGTGAAAATTTTGGTTCAATTGATTTATTGAAGACTAAAATAAGGTTTATACACTGTAAAACTGTATAATTTCATTTTATATGAACGTTTTAGAGGCGGATGAAATAACTAATTTACGAACACAAAGTTACATTGGTCCAAAGTGTTTCTAAAACACTACTATCACTTATGAGATTCGTTTTATGATCATAGCTTTCGATCGGATAATGCTCATCAACTTTTGATCGCGATTTCTTTTCCAAATATTTTCTTTGGTCGTACATTGTGCTCTGAAAGTGTTGAATTCTCGAAATTTGCTCGGTGTGACCATCAGGACATGCATACGTGTGAAAAATCTGGTTCAATTCATCTGTTGAGGACTAAATAAGGTCTATACACTGTAAAACGGTATAATTTCACATTATAAGAACGTTTTAGAGGCGGATGAAACAACTAATTTGCAAACACAAAGTTACATTGGTCCAAAGTGTTTCTAAAACACTACTATCACTTATGAGATCCGTTTTATGATCATAGCTTTCGATCAGATAATGCTCATCGACTTTCGACCGCGATTTCTTTTCCAAACCTTTTCTTTGGTCGTACATTATGCTCTGAAAGTATTGAATTCTCGAAATTTGCTCAGTGTGACCTGTGTGACCACTGTTGAGGGCTAAAATAAGGTCTATACACTGTAAAACTGTATAATTTCATTTTATATGAATGTTTTAGAGGCAGATGAAACAACTAATTTACGAACACAAAGTTACATTGGTCCAAAGTGTTTCTAAAACACTACTATCACTTATGAGATTCGTTTTATGATAATAGCTTTCGATCGGATAATGATCATAAACTTTCGACCGCGATTTCTTTTCCAAACCTTTTCTTTGGTCGCAAATTACGCTTTGAAAGTGTTGAATTCTCGAAATTTGCTCAATGTGACCTGTGTGACCAGTGTGACCATCGGGACATGATACTTGTGAAAAATCTAGTTCAATTCATATGTTGATGGCTAAAATAAGGTCTATACAGTGAAAAACGATATAATTTCACTTTATAAGAACATTTAAGAGGCGAATAAAACGACTAATTGTCGAAAAAAAGTTACATTGGTCCAAAGTGTTTCTAAAACACTACTATCACTTATGAGATTCGTTTTATGATAATGACCTTTGATCGGATAATGTTCATGAACTTTCGAACGCGATTTCTTTTCCTAACCTTTTCTTTGGTCGTACATTACGCTCTGAAAGTGTTGAATTCTCGAAATTTGCTCAGTGTGACCTGTGTGATTAGTGTGACCATCGGGACATGCATACGTGTGAAAAATCTGGTTCAATTCATCTGTTGAGGGCTAAAATCAGGTTTATACACTGTAAAACGGTGTAATTTCACTTTATAAGAACGTTTTAGAGGCGGATAAAACAATTAATTTACGAACACAAAGTCACGTTGGTCCAAAGTGTTTCTAAAACACTATTATCACTTATGAGATTCGTTTTATGATCATAGCTTTCGATCGGATAATGCTCATAAACTTTCGATGATTTATTTTCCGAACCTTTTCTTTGGTTATACATTACCCTATGAAAGTGTTGAATTCTCGAAATTTGCTCAGTTTGACTAGTGTGACCATCGGATAATGTTCATAAACTTTCGGCCACGATTTCTTTTCCAAACTCTTTCTTTAATCGTACATTACGCTCTAAAAGTGTTGAATTCTCGAAATTTGCTTAGTATGACCAGTGTGACCTTCGGGATACTAGTCACACAGATCATAATGAGTAGATTCCCACCATATATAAGCAAAGAAATAAAATAAACTTTAATACAACATAAAATCAAATCAAAGGTTCAAATCGAAACAAGTAAACCAAAGTTTACGATGTAAAATTAAACAAAGTTCAGTCACAAAGATCAGAAATTATCTTCTTTGTTATTTGAATGCGTTTCTTGGTCAGACGATTCCAAATATCGAGTATAGCTTCATCCAAGTACTGCAAAATAACGTAATATATTAATGTGACTAGTGTGACCAGTGTGACCAATATAGATTTTTTTAACAGTGTGACCAACCAGTGTGACCAGTGTGACCAATATGGGTCGCTTCTTGACATTTGGTTCTACTTTTTTTTCTTCTTGTTTCTCTTGATTCGCATCTTCCACAGTGAGTTCTCTAGTCTTTTCCATCTCTTTTTCTTTTTTGACTTGTTTTTTTGTTGTTCTTTTTCTTCTTCATCGACTTCCATCAAAATTATCTCTACTTCTTTGTTTTTTTCTACATTTTCGTCTGATTTACAATCGGGAGATGAAGTTTTCCTTTGATTTTTGTTCGATGGAGAACTTATTTTTGTTTGATTTATAATAATCAGGAAGTTGAGAATTCAAAATAGAGATAATTGTTGAGAAAGACGAAAGAAAGAGAAAGAGAAGAGAGAGAAACTTTTGAATTTTGTTTTAAAAATGATTAAATTTATAGAAAAGTGGAGAATATAGTTGTGCCATGTGTCATTTTTTATAGGGTTATTCTTGTCTTTTGATCAATTTTTTTTTCAAAATCCTAATGGTTTTTAGGGGCAGGTGAAGTCTTTGTAGTAAAATGAAAGTACTTTTGCTATTTTGCCCGACGGATATCATGTTTATTAAAGCAAAGATCTAGACAACATTCAGAATCCTTTTACTTTAAATCTTTCGCCTAAATCGAAATTTATATTATTAAAATATTTTTTATAAATCAAGATGTTCTCCTTACAAATTGAAGATTGAGCTCTTACTAGTTGTAAATTTAAATAGCAATAATAATTAACAGGTTACTCAAAATTGGATTATTCTTCACTCACACTATAGGTATCATTGGAAAAAAAATTATTCCGTCATCTAAAATACATTAACTAATTAATTACGTGTCGTGGACATATATATATATATATATAGACGTTTTTATACGTGTAAACATGAAGGAAAAACCAACAAATAAATAAAAAAAAAAAGAAAAAATTGTAAATATATGAACTTTTATAAAAATATCCAAAAAAATATATGAATTATAAAATTTCCAAATAAATATCTAAACTTTTTAAAATTTTTTTATAAATAACTAAATTTTTAAAAATTTACCAAATAAAACCAAAATCTATTAACGACGTTAAATTTGTAACATAATCCGTCGATAATTGATAATTTACCCGTCAACGAATATTATTTTATTTGGTAAATTTTTAAAAAATTGAATATTTATATAGAAATTTTAAAAAAATTAGATATTTATTTGAAAATTTTATAGTTTAAATATTTATTTAAGACTTTTATAAAAGTTAGAAATATTTATATTCTATTTTTTCTAAATAGAATAATATGAATTTTTTCACTTAATATAGGATTTAAAAGTTTGCAAGGTTTTCCGGCTATTAGTCGATTGAGCCACATTTCTTTGTCAAAAACACATCTCTCTCCTTTCCCACCAAATCCTCAAAAACCCAGAATCTTCTTTATTTTTTTTTCTTTTGAAGAAATATATTTCTTCCACGACGAGGTCTTTGCAGTTTTCAGACAGGCTTCCGTCAAACAGGAATTTTCCCAGAAAATCTTATTTGTATCTGAGAATCCCTGGGAATATTTTATACCTTTCTTCCATTTTGCGACATTCCTATTGATCGAGAGCTTTCCCTTTTAGGCTGTACAACAATCTTTCCGTCTCTATAGCTTCAGTTTTAGTTTTTCTTTTTCTTTTGTCAAAGTCGAAGAAAGCAAAAAGCTTTCTGCTTGCCGAACTTTCTGTGAGCTTGTTTTCTCCGAGAAAATCTCTCTCTCTCTCGGAATGCGGAGAAATTTAGGGAAAAGAAGGGATTTTGGGTAGCTGAGATGGTGGTGAGGAAGGTGGGAAAGTACGAAATCGGTAGGACGATCGGCGAAGGAACCTTCGCGAAGGTGAAGTTCGCGCAGAACACTGAGAGCGGAGAGAGTGTCGCCATGAAAGTTGTCGATCGGAGCACCATCATCAAGCGCAAGATGGTCGATCAGGTTGCCCTTTGTTCTTCTCTCGTCAGGCTGTTTGTTTTCCGGGAAAAAAAATGTTTGGATTCTCGGAGTTGGGAAAAGGGTTTATGTACGATTGCAGAATTCGAAATCGTGGATAAGATTAGGAGCTTTTTCATTTCGACCCTATTAGACGAACTGCTAAGAAGATGAGGATTTCTTTCGTTATTCGATTCCGACCAAACTGTGGAAACAGTCTTTGAACTGGTTTTTTCTCTCGTTGTTGGGTTTGCAGATTAAGCGAGAAATATCAATCATGAAGCTTGTTCGTCATCCTTACGTTGTTCGTCTCCACGAGGCAAGCCCTGTTTCATACTTCATGACATGTTTCTTGAACAACACAGAAAACTTTGATCTGTTTGCTAATGGATTGCACTTCGCCATGAATGATGGATAATGGTTTTTGATCTGCAGGTTCTTGCAAGCCGCACTAAGATCTATATAATCCTGGAGTACATTACAGGTGGTGAACTGTTTGATAAAATAGTGAGTAGCTCAACTCGTGATTTACGGCTCAAGTTCCTCAGGTTTTTAGATGATTTGTTTTTGTTGAAATTTAGATGATTTGTTGCTGTTGCGGTTCTTGTTTTTTTCCCTTGCGTTTTGTGTTTAGAGAAAGGTTTTTAATTTGCTGATTCGGGTTGTGGCTGCAGGTTCGCCATGGACGTCTTAGTGAAGCAGAAGCTCGGAAATACTTTCAACAGCTTATTGATGGAGTCGATTACTGTCACAGTAAAGGGGTTTACCACAGAGATCTAAAGGTTCTTATTATCAAGAATCGGTGAGATTTTCACTCTCCATTTGTTCATATTTCTGATTGTTTGTGTTTTTTTCACTGCAGCCGGAAAATCTTCTCCTGGATTCCCAAGGGAATCTAAAGATATCCGATTTTGGTCTCAGTGCATTGCCCGAGGAAGTAAGAAACCAAGAAAGAGTTATACCCGTCGTTTTTTTCCTCCTTTTTTACCTCAAATCACGCTTGATTTCAATCGTTATAGTAACAAAATCGTCTGATATTGTGCGTTGATCTCAAGGGAATTACACTACTTAAGACAACATGTGGAACACCGAATTATGTGGCTCCTGAGGTAAATCATACTCATCATGTTTCGGACAGATAACGATAGCCTTTGGATCGCGGGTCATTTCAGTTCGTGCTTCTGTCCGTAGGTTCTCAGTCACAAGGGTTATAATGGCGCAGTCGCAGATGTTTGGTCTTGTGGAGTCATCCTCTATGTTCTTATGGCAGGATTCCTTCCATTTGATGAACTTGATCTCACAACTTTATACAGTAAGGCATGGATCTCTGTTTTTTCCTTTTTGTGCTGTCTGATGATCTCTTTTTTTTTGTTCTGTACTTTCTATCTGAGACGGTTTTTCTTCTGTCTTTCTTTTATTCTGCTCACGAGTTTGCAGATCGATAGAGCAGAATTCTCTTGCCCGTCTTGGTTTCCATTGGGAGCGAAGTCCTTGATTCATAGAATTTTGGATCCAAATCCTCAAATGGTAAGTTCTCGATTTTCCTTGAAATCTCTGGTTTTATACCCTTTTTTCCGGCTCCAACTTCTGTAATGTGCTGATATCTTGACTTGTACATGGAACAAAAGATAGAAGTCTGGTTTTTTGTCGACGATTTCAATAACCGAATTATTTTGTTTTGATCTATCATCAGAAAGATATGTTGCATCACATGATGGATGAAGTGTCACATGATGTACTCTTTTTCATCTGCAGTTGCAAGAAGCTTTATATACACTTTGGCGTTTTTACTAAATCTTTCTTTCTTTCTCTCATCTGTGTTTTGCAGAGAATTACGATTGCTGAAATCAGAAAAGATGAATGGTTCCGAAAGGATTACACTCCTGTTCAACTTCTTGATTATGAACATGTCGATCTCGATGATGTGTATGCGGCTTTCGATGATCCTGAGGTAAGCTTCTGTTGCCACATATCTTTTCGGTTTTTTTCATCGTTTGATTTTGTTCACTCCTTTGTATAATCAAAGTTATATATATTTAACAAGATTTTGTTTCTTTCTTGTACCTGCGGTTCGATTTCACGTATCGATAGTCTACATCTGCAGGAACAGAGAACCGATGGACATAGCGGAAACGAGGACACTGGTCCTTTGTTTCTCAACGCCTTTGATCTGATCGTTCTATCTCAGGGACTTAACCTTGCAACGTTATTCGACCGTGGGAAGGTACTACCCTTGGAAAAACCCGAGCCATTTCCTTTCTTCTGTGTTATTGAATGCGTGTATGGGTTTCTCGTTTTCCTTTGATAGCAATACCACTGTAAATGTGGGTACGAGTCGGATACCCGAAAAATTTAGACTACCCGAATTTGTATGTGAAGGTCTCGGATATCATAATGTGATACCCGTTTTCATACATGAGAGTCTTGGGTCCCTAAATTATGGGTGTTCGACAAAAATGTTCAAGTATTTGTGTATATCCGAATCCAAAATTACTGTATATGTCATTTGTTAATATACACGGGTATCCGTTGGTATCTTTCATCAATTTTTAATTGTTTGTACCTGCACCCGTATCCATTGGATGGACAATAAAAAATATCCGCCCTTTACCCGTGAATGACCGGGTACCCGAAAATCGAGTATTAATGCCTTCGTGTTATGCTTTGCTGCATAAGTTTTCTTTGCATTTTGGTTGACAGGATTCCATGAAGTATCAGACTCGGTTTGTCTCTCATAAGCCAGCAAATGTTGTTCTATCGAGCATGGAAGTCGTCGCACAATCTATGGGTTTTAAAACACACATTCGTAATTACAAGGTAAGATTTCCGAGCTCCTTCTCGGCTCGATTTTGTTTTGTTCGTATTTCCGTCACGTAGAAAGCTTTAAAAGTTTCTCGAAAATTTCTTTCTCGTCCAGATGAGAGTGGAAGGACTGTCCATGCGCAAGACGTCTCATTTCTCCGTCATCCTGGAAGTAACTTCTCGTCTCGTCTCTTAGAGTTCATACCTTTCTTCACTTAGTCCATATCCATCTCATGAAATCATTACTTTTCCGAAAGGTCTTCAAAGTTGCGCCGCCGTTTTTTATGGTAGATCTTCAGAAAGCTTCCGGAAACGAAGATGAATACCTCAAGGTTAGTTTTTTGTTTCCCGTATTCGGTTGTATATTTACAATGTTGTGAAATCTCTTACCAGCGCCGTCCATGCGACAACATTTCTTCTCAGCATGGAATCAAATACTTTCTGTGCGTTTTCCATGGATCCACATTTCCCGTAAACGTTCACAAGAGAAGTCGAAATGAATAGATCTTGATGGGTACCGGATTTCATGATGTGGGCATGAACTGCTTCAGCGTTGATTTGTACAAAGTAAAGGCCGGTTTATGTCTCGCAGTTCTACAAGACGTTTTGTAGCAACCTCGACGACATCATTTGGAAGCCCCCGGATGAATCTGGAAGAACCCGAGTCGCGAAATCCAAGAGTAAAAGACGTTGAAAGCCTGTGCCTTTATGCAAGGCACCTGGAGGAGTATACTAAAAAAGACGGTAACTGCTATAATTTTTACTACGTAAGACGAGTAAAAAACCGAAAGCATGTGTTGGCATTTCTTGTTTGGTCCTGAACCCTAAACCCTTTTTGCATACACGTAAATTTTCCTTTCCCCTTCTGCATTTACTTACTGGTAATGTTAGAATGAAAACGTACAAGAGTGTTGAATGGATACACAATGGGAGTTTTTCTTTTAATAGAACTGACCTGTTTTGATGAAGAAGAAATGAAGTGTTTCTCCTTTTGCTGTGTAACTTCTCAGCTCTTCTTATGTGCTAACACTTTAAACAGTTCTTTGTCTGGTTACATGGCTTTCAAATTCCGCAGAAAAATGGAGACGAACGTTTCCCCGCACGAGCAATGCCCGTCTACGAATCTGTGAAGCCGTTTGCTGTCTCGGATAACGATGGTTCTACCAGTAAGCATCGACACCATCTTCATAAAACTATGGCTATCACTGCACATGTTCACGCTTTTCACGATCCTTATTACCGCAGCCTCTGGTGTGGATAACAGTCCTAACCCGAGAGCCAACTTCTCGCTGTCATATACGACGGCAGAAGTGGAGATCTTCCTCTCGTTCTCGCCTTCGACTGTCTCTAGCTCATTTACCCGCTGAATCTCGGGTCCATTCGTCTGGGCCTTCTCTAAGCATTTGTATATCTCCTCGCTCCGAGAATGCGTCCGATCATCGGGTCTGAACGAATGAACCTTGTCTTTGACGGTGATCCAACTCCAATTCTCTTTCGTTGCGACGTTCTCATCGTTGATCAGTGCCTCCAATCTCGAGACCTCTTCAAGCTTTTCGGCCGATAAATATGTGTTCAATAACAAGGCGTACGTTTCGGGCTCTTTCGGTTTGAGTTTGAGAAGCTCCTCAGCTGCATGAAAAGCTAGTTCCGTATTTCCTTGAGCTCTGCAACCAACGAGAATTACCGACCAAATGTACTCGTTCGGTTGGAGATTCATGGAGTTGATGAATTCAAGGGCTTCTTCTATCCGACCCGATCTAACGAACATTTCAATGATACATCCGTAATGTCCAAGCCGATAAAACGCCCGTGAAGGTTATCTCATTCGGTGTAACTCCATTCTTTCTCATCTCGTCGAACAGTTTTAACGCTCTATTGGATTTCCCACGGCTTGCCAATCCCGAAATCATTGACGTCCAAGATATCAATGTCTTCGTTGACATCTCTGTGAAGGCTTTACTCGCATTTTCTATGCTTCCGCACCTATTGTACATGTTCACCAGAGCCGTTCCCACAACTACTTCTGACAAAAACCCGGTTTTAATCGCTTGAGAATGGATCTGCTCTTGAAAATGTATACAGATCGGGTCTCAAATCCGAACGTTGTAGGTTTAGGAATATCCTCAAAGCCTCAGTTCCGCTTCCATGTGTCGAGAGATCATCGTCACTAGTTTCCATTATCCGGGCATGGCCTGCGATTAGAGCATTCCATGTCACTAAGCTAGCTGAACCGATTCCATCAAAGAGCTTCTCGGCCTCCATCGTCAATCCGCATTTCAGGTATAGATACATGAGCGAGTTTTTAACCCGTAAGTTCGAGTCGAATCTGAGTTTCGTACTCAGTGATTGCAGCTGCGATCCTATGCCAAGATATGACATGGTGCAGCACAAGCTCAACACGACGGTGACTGTGAACTCGTTAGGTGCAACTCCCTCGGCCAACATTTCGAGAAATAATCTCAATCCTTTTAGAGATTTGCCATTTCTTCCGCAGGCAGAGATCACTGCAGTCCATGAAACCACATTCTTTTCCCAGATCTTCTGAAACGCAGTGGCAGCAGAATCCAAGTGGCCATGGCTCGAGTATAGGCTGCAAAGCGAGTTTCCGACGCTTGTTTCATCTTCAATCCTATATTTAATAACATACCCATGAATTTGTTTCCCCAATTCTAGAGAATTCAAAAGAGAAGAAGCGCTCAAAACTGCTCCTAGAGTGAAATTTGTCGGATAAGACCCACCTTTGAGCAGATCCTGAAACACACTGATCGCGGTCTCTGGTTGGGAATTCTGAACATAACCCGTTACCAGCGCCGTCCATGCGACAACATTTCTTCTCAGCATGGAATCAAATACTTTCTGTGCGTTTTCCATGGATCCACATTTCCCGTAAACGTTCACAAGAGAAGTCGAAATGAATAGATCTTGATGGGTACCGGATTTCATGATGTGGGCATGAACTGCTTCAGCGTTGGAAAGTGAAACCTGGTCTATGCATTCCTGTAGGAGAGGGACATAAAACGAAGACTCGACCTTCGTGCTTTCTTTTATCATAGGCAAAGCTTCTCGGAAATCAGGCGATCCCTTGGATTCCTAAGAAGATGAGGATTTCTTTCGTTATTCGATTCCGACCAAACTGTGGAAACAGTCTTTGAACTGGTTTTTTCTCTCGTTGTTGGGTTTGCAGATTAAGCGAGAAATATCAATCATGAAGGTCTTCGAGACAGTAGCTTTTGGGGCTGACACAACAGATCAAGCACAGAATCAGATGGAATTAGAATAGAAATACATTGACATCAGACGAAGAACCAATTCATTCTTCTTTCCTACATAATCCAGTTCGAGGTCGAGACAAAAGATCCAAACAGAGAATTTGGTTACCTTGTCTGGAGAAGGAACCAGTTTCTTCTGGGTATCGACGTGGAGTCTGAGAGTGCAACGAAGGGAGAACATAGGAAGACAAGAAGCCATGAAAAGGGGAAGAAGTTCAAGGAGAGTGGGAAACACACTTACCTCTGACAAAGGGGAATCAATCAGCCATCTATCTTCTGCTTCATCCGTTTCTGGATAATATTGTTAGTGGAGGAGAGTGATGGCGCTAAACCTGAACGCTGTCGTTTTATCTCAATGGCACCTGCTAACCCTCTTTCCTACTCGGAGGTTCTACAACAAAAAATAGTCCCCACCACATGAAGAAACTTGACAGACCATAATAAACGAACCTGTTTGACGACAGAACATGCCAGACTGTCGTAAATATGGATTTTGATTGCAATGAATCGACAAATCTTTGGTCTGCTGTGTTACATTTAGATTTTTTGATGGAGAAAATGAAACAAACAACAGGCGGGACAGGCAGCGAAAAGGACTATGGAATCTTCCACTCTTCGACATAGACCTCTGCAATAAAAATTTGGATAATCAAGATCAATAAGCGATGCATATGTCTGTATTTATCTCTCTATCTATATATATATGTGTGTAATGATACAAGCATTCACATATATATACCTAGTAATATAACATGTTGATGGATTTAGTCTTTGTATTTCATTGTCTCCTTCTCAAACCCGACAGTCGGAAATTGCTTCGCGTACTCTTCAACTTCCTCGCGGAGCTTTCTGATCTCTGATTGGAATCGCTCATTCTGCATCGTTGCAACGAAATCCTTCAACTTTATTCCTGCATTCGATTATGGATTTCACAAATAAATCCTTACGAGCAAAATTTAAGCAAGGAGTAAAGATAAAAACAAAAAGAGACTGGCTTTTGTGTTTAACAAATGGAAGGAAAAAAAATTACCTTGAGTCTCAGACTTGATCTTCAAGGCCAACTTCACAGCTGCATCAAAGAAATCAGCTACTCTCGCGAAATCTTCTTCGACAAATCCTCTAGAAGTGAGAGCCGGCGTTCCTTTAAAACCATGGGAAGAAGGTGGGCATTAAAATTATATCGATTTTACAGTCTCTAAGGTAAGAAAACTCGATGAAATAAACATTGGTTATGGTTTAAACTAGCAATGCCCAGAAAAAATAAGCAATAAAAATCCAAGAATTTGACAATGTAGACCAAGAAATCATTTTTAGTCTTACCCATACGGATGCCACCTGGAACCATGGCAGAAACATCGCCTGGGACGGTATTCTTGTTTGCCGCTATATGTACAGATTCTAAGACTTTCTCAACTCTCGATCCATCTATTCCCTACAAAACCAAGTTCCCAAGAAGAGATCAGTACAAAATAGCGTATCACCAGCAGAAAATTAGCACCACTATAGCTGCTTAATGAGCTTTCACAATTTTACCAAATAAATGATATCTTTGTTGATTATAGGAAAAGAAATTAACTCGTCTACCCGAAAACAATTAGCTCAAGGCATTTGAATACATTAACTAGTTTTTCAATCTGTTACAAGCTCTTGTTGATAAAATGACACATAGACTACCCAATAAAAAAAAAGAACACAAGAACCCATCATTGTTACTTTTTCTGTGCAACATTCCGTTTCAGGATTCAAGTTATTTCCGTCCTTCCATTAAAGCCAGAAAAGATCAGCCACTTTCCTTTGCAAACTCGTAGTGTCGCAGCAAACATTATTTGATTTTCTCATCCATGCCTCACGGGGTAAAGACAGAAAAGGATCTTTGCAAGAGCGATACCTTATTTCTCAGATTCACGAGGACTAGGTGGTTAGCAGTTCCTCCAGAGACCAAGTCATATCCTTTCTCAAGCAAAGTCTGAAGGTACATGTCATTTGAAGGATACACAGTGAGATGGTTATAGTAAAGTTCATTGCATATAGATGACAGTATAAACGAGGCATATCAATTTATTATTCAAATTTGAGAGTGTACGACCACATCTCACCTGAGCGAACTTTGAGCAGTTCACGAGAACTTGTTCCTGGTAAGCCTTGTACTCGGGTGTTTTAACCTGTAATTAGAGAAATTAATAAGTCGGAATGTGCATGAACTAAGCCAAGAATATAAACAGGAAAGCGTCATGAGATCCTAATCAAAAAGCACATATGAGACTAGAGAACATATTTTTAAGGAAATGATACTAAATAGTCAAGTGAGTAAACCTGCTTCAGTGCAACGGCAAGACCAGATATAGTGTGGTTGTGTGGACCACCTTGCAGTCCAGGAAAAACAGCCTGGTTAATTTTGTCTTCAAAGTCATACATTTCCTGCAAGACAGATTCAAAATAACATACAGACAAATTCGTTAAAATCTGGATTCAGTCCGAAACTATATGATGCATCAGTTCTATGGAATAACCATATTGAACATCACCTTGTCCAATATATAGGGAGTTGAAACTCACCTCTTTCTTGTTTGTTGATCCCCTTCACCCCTTTCCGGAAAAAGATCATAGCCCCGCGTGGACCTCGAAGCGATTTGTGGGTTGTAGTTGTGACAACATCCGCATACTCGAAAGGAGAAGGAATCACACCAGCAGCTACCAACCCACTAATATGTGCCATATCAGCCAACATAAATGCCTTTTGCTTATCACAGACCTGCAAATTCATCAGATATCATCTTGTAACTGAAAAGAATGCGCCTTAAAATTTTCACAACATGCAACAGCGGTGGTTGCATGGGAAAAAAAGATTTACCTTGCGTATACGAGCGTAATCATAAAGACGAGCATAAGCACTTGCACCAGCAACAATAAGCTTGGGTCTGAAAAGCACAGCACTTTTTTCCATCTGCAAGTAATTATATCAGAACGAATCAAACTTCGCCTCCAGAATTGTTGAGGAAATACCGCGACAAAACAGAATAGCTTAAACGTGAAGGCCAACCTGTATTTATGTGAAAACCCAATTTCTCAATGCAATAGTACATAGATGGAATATGGATAGGCATTATGCTGGGTATCCAGCTATCTAACCTGGTCATAATCAATGTAACCGGTGTTCTCATCCAATCTGTATGGCATTGTCTCAAAGAATATGGATACAGCAGAGATTTTCTTCGTGTCAGTCTGTATAACAGAAATAAAAAGATGAATAAAAATCATCTTAAGAATGAGAAAGGAAGCCCATGACTGAGATCAATAAAGATAAAATATCTTTAAAGAATTCCAAGCACCTGGTAACCGTGAGAAAGATGTCCACCGTGAGGTAGATCAAGTGCCATGATCCTTTCATGAGGCTTCAGCAGTGCAGTATAAACTTGAAAGTTAGAAGGAGATCCTGACAAAGACTGCACATTGACTGCAAAAAAGAAAGGTCCCGTCATGACCGTAATAGGCATTCGCCTCTGGTGTGGATAACAGTCCTAACCCGAGAGCCAACTTCTCGCTGTCTACCAAAAAAAAAAATCACTCACTCACCTCCCCACTTTGAAGGATCTAACTGAAAAGCTTCTAACGCGCGTTTTTGACATAATGACTCTGCCATGTCAATGTACCTATTGGACAAGAGGCAAAAAGCTTAAGCATATACAACCAACAACACAATGGTAAGAGCTTCGAGAAAGAATAAGCGGGTACTATAAACATAACAGATACTAGTAAGCCGAAGCTTGCTCCTTATCTAACAAGACCAGGGAACAAATCGTCAAACGAACGGAAAAAGAAAAGGAAGGAGATTTCCATACTCGTTTCCTCCGTAATATCGGGCGCCAGGGTATCCTTCACTGTATTTGTTAGTCATCACAGAACCAACAGCTTGCATCACAGAGACAGATGTGAAATTCTCTGAGGGTATAAGTTCAAGTCCCTGAAAATCACATCCACAAGATTCAAAATCAATGAACAGAAAATTCTTCCGTGTTCCCCATTCTTTTGGGTTCATTCGTATTTCGAAACAACAAATTCAGAAGCCAAACCTTCCAAAAGAATTCAAATCAGCACCGTCAACGCCAAAACAGGTAAAGAAAAACACACACACAACCAACATCACTCATGGAATTTCATGACTCCTTCAAATACGAACCCAAAAAGGATAGAAAAAGACACTACATGTTTCTAATTTGCAAGTGCAAATACGCATACCTTCCATTGCCTAGCTTTCTCGAGCTCGATAATATCAGCGATTTCGGGATCAATTTCTTCGAGAGGAGCGTTCAGTTGTTTTATCCACTGAGGGGGGAAAATCACGTTCATCGAATCAAGCTCCAAGCAAAACGTTAAATGCGAAACCAAAAACAATTGATATTTCAATACTATCGGATCCAAGTGCACAAAATCACATACCGTGGCACGAGATTTCTCCGTACCCGCAACAGCCGAGTTCGGCAAAGACGACTGAGCAAAAAAAAGAAAACACACACAAACGAATCAAAATCAAATAAGAACAAAAAATACGAAGAAGATGAGTGATACGAATCAAACGAGGAAATGACCATGAAACGGAGGGAACCGCCATTGGAGGCGGCAAATGAGATCGGATTCTTAACGGAGGAGAATCTGCGAAGAGCCGCCACCGCCATCGTCGCCGTCATCGCTTGCCTCTATCTCTCTCTTTACCTCACAAGCTCTCTTTTCTCTCTCTCGGCTATGCCTCAGAGAAACGATGTTTGGTTGGGGCATTATCAAAAATACCCTTAAAATGCTACTTCTACTTCAAGACCTGGTCACATGTGACCAATGTGACCGAAATATAGTATGGTCACATTTTGATTTTTATCGATTATAACGTTAAATTTATGGTGATCACACTAATTCATTATGTTCATACCTTGTATATCTTACTAATCATTTGATTAAAACATCATAAATTTAACGTTATGAACAATGAGATCAATATGTGACCACACTATATTTCGGTCACATTGGTCACATGGTCACAAGGGTAGGTGTTGAAGTAGAAGTAGCATTTTAAGGGTATTTTTGATATAATACCTGTTTGGTTGGGGAATATTACTCAAATAACCCACTTCGGTCGCAGCAATTTCAGTGTACACCACCGAAAAAAAAAAAAAAATTTGCGAACTTATTACGACTAATATATAACTAATATACAACTTATTACGACTAATAAACTATTCTTATTTTAGTTGTATATTAGTTATATATTAGTCGTAATAAGGTCGCAAATTTTTTTTTTTTTTTCGGTGGTGCGACCCAAGTGGGTTATTAGGGTTAAAACCCAGTTTAAAACCAGTTTGGTTGATGTGAGCAAAAGGTGGGGAATTTTAATCAAATGAGCACTTTGGTGGCACCTATTTCACGTGTACACCAGAAAAAATATAACACTTTTTTTTGCGTGAAAAGACGACATTACCCTTAATGAATACGCGATTTTTATCCGTTCGAAAACAACTTCGTTATTACGACTTCGTAATTAATTCTAAATATAGTTACAATTGATTCTAAAAAAGGTGGCAAAAAAATCATCTGTCTTATTTTAATGGTATATCAGTTATATGTTAGTCGTGATAAGGTCACAAAAAATAAAACGAAAAGGGTATTTCGGACTTTTCCAACCGGAAAGTGGATTAAAATTGAAAATTTTTTTTTTTTCCGGCGGTGTACACTGAAATTGTTGCGACCCAAGTGGCCAAGTGGCTTATGTGAGTAATATTCCCAAAAGGTGGCTGGCATTATTATTTATTTATTTTTATGTTGGTGGATCGTTTTTGCTAAGTTCGATCGTTTTTTTTTTCGGTGTGACGTCACTTGACGTAAGACACCATTCGTCTTCGTCACGACTCACGAGTATGCATGCACTACACGGGCCTGAGAATGGGCCGGGTTGTGCCCATTTTGCAGATGGGTAATCCGATCCAATAATAATTTTGTTTGGTTATTTATTTGTTATTTTAATTAAATGTGTTTTATGTGTTATTATTAAGATTATGGTATAAATGGTTAAATCTATTAAAATTATTAATTTATAAGTTTTAATTAGGTAACTATTTTCATTAATATATCATAACCCAATTGATTCAAAACAAATAACACATTAACGAATTCGATATAAAATCTAGTTTATATGATTTTATTTTAAAATAAAAATTTGAATCCTAACTGAATTTAAAAATAACCAAAAAATGAAAATTTATTTTGAAATGAGAAATTTATCAATAAAAATCGAATTCGAATTCGAATCAAAACGGATCAATATGAATCGAAATGAATCTTACGAAGCAAAACGAATAAAACTCGAATCGAAACTAATAGATTCGAATCAAAACGAATTGATTAGAATCAATCCGAAAATGAATCTGATTAATTGTTTTAAAATGATTGGATTAATGACTAATCCAACCATGTAATGTTTAACTTGAATGTTGAAACCTATTAAAAACCCAACTGATGGGTCAAAACGGGTGGATCTTTTGCACGATATAACGGTCTTAAAATAAAACAAATTTAAATTCAATTTAAATACGAAAATAATTAAAAAATATATAATAAGTATAATAAATTATTGAGAAAATAAAAAAACACTGAATTTTTCAATTTTGACAAAAAACACTGAACTTTATTTTTTGTCAAATAAACATTACACTTTTTAAACGAATCTAAAAAACACTGAACTTTTTAAGTCATCCAAAAAATCCATGAACTTTTCTGCGATTATCAAAAAATACTGAACTTTTTTAGTGATCCAAAAAATATATGAAATTTTTTCGATTCTAAAAAACTAAGTAAAATAATCTAATGTATTTGTATCTCCTTGTGTCACGTCAATCATTTTATTTATTTTGACAATCATAAAAGAGTTAAGTGTTTGTTTTGTCAAATTTAAAAAGTTTAATATTTATTTGATAAAATAAAAAGTTTAGTGTTTTTGGTCAAAATTTGGAAGTTGAATGATTTTTTTGGATTTTTTCTAATTTATTTAAAAGGTAGTATTTTATCAATAAAAACTGAATAGAATAGAATATAACATAAAAAACAAAAACTATGAACCCTAAAAACTACAGACGTGATTAAAAGAAATTAAGGACAACCTCTGATCATTATGATTGATTAGGGTTTGTCGGCTGTGCAGTCAGATGTAAACCGGTGAATCTCCAACCCCTTGGGAAGAGAGAGAATTTTCTCCATCGCAAGGGTTTTTGTCATAGAGAAACCCTACATTTATCTCTTACCATCAAACCAACCACTAAGAAACACGTTATATTAGATTATTAAAAAACATTTATATTAATATCGCTTAAAACTGTATCAAATTCTCATTTTTTATGATATATGTATATATATGTGTGTCAAATATATAATTAAATGTAAAAGTCGAAGAAAATCTTCGCCCCAAAAAATCGAATTAGACAATGCGCATGCCATTTATATTTTCTCTTAGTACTTAAACTATTTTCTGAATAAAATAAAATCTGAAAGTTTTCAGTGGACTAAATCCAACTCAAGAGAGATGAACTGTCCGTGTTAAGTATCACGTAAGCACAAATACAAAGCACATTCAACAAAAAAAGAGAGTCTAAACTCATACATATATATATATATATATGTGTATATGTATGTATATATATATACGCTCCTCCGCGCATCACCACCTCCCCCTCCGGCCGGCAGCCGGCCGGCCAAATTGACCCCGAAAAATGCCGCCACGCCTTCGTTCCTCCCAAACCCCTCCCTCTCCTGGGATTTTGGGACCCTCCCCCTCTCTTGTGCCTTCTCCCCCTTCCTCCCCTTCGTCGAAGCCCACTGCTTCAGTCGAAGACCCAAATCAGCCCCCACCTCTCTTCTCATCCACCGCTCAGCTATCTCCGACGAAGCCAACGGTTTCGACTGGAAACAACAAGCACTCTTCCTCGCCGAAGCCAAATCTTTCGGTGGAAATCCCTGATTCGGTATGTCTTCCCGCGTTGGAGACCACCGCCCCTATCTCGACTGAGCCCACGGCTCCGGCTACTCTGCCCACTTCCTCCTCCTCCTCCTCCATCGCTCACCTCTCTCCGGCGAGGCCCACTGCATTCAACGGCAGCCCAAATCGCCCTGGTTCTTCCAAGCCGAAACCAAGTGTATCTGCGGCACAACTTAACTCAGTCCTTCCTTCTGAACCGTCATCGCTCATTCGGCGGAGCCCACTGCTCTTTGCGCAAATCGCATAGAAGCCTCCGTTGCCGGTAGAGTTGAACCGAGAAGATCAGTACCCTCCAAATTCCAACAGTCTCCGCAGGAGACCTGGAGCCAGAGAGTTCAAAATTCAATCCAGGTATGCCAACGGGTTGGTAATCCGAAAATCCACCCCAGCGGAATTCCCCTCGTCGAAATTCCTATGGAGTCTTTGGAATCGTCTGCAGAAGAATGGGCAGATTTTGTTGTGGGTCAGTTTTATGGACTACCTCCACCTATGGGAAGAATAATTGGTGTCTCCAATGCTATGTGGTCGCGTAATGGTCCGAAGGTCAGAGTACAAGATGTCGGAAATGGTACCTATCTCTTCAAAATGCCGAATCGCCGCTCCAGAGATCTGGAAATGAGTAGGCAAATTTGGCATGTAGGATCATGCCCTATGTTCGTGTCGGCATGGAGCCCCTATCATATAGCTACGAAGCCAACGCTGACCTCGATCCAAACGTGGGTATCTTTTCGGAATTTACCACACCAGATCTATACCACAGACTGCCTCAACCGGATTGCTACTGCCGTTGGGCGCCCTCTATACCCGGATAAAACAACAGCTGCAAAGGAAAATGTCATGGTTGCCAGGATTCTTATAGACGTCAATTTGCAATGTGTTCCACCAAAAAATGTAGTGGTGACATTACCGGGCGGACAGGAACACATCATCGACATTTACTATGATTGGTTACCTCCTACATGCAGTAAATGCTCGGAACTAGGGCACAACCACAACCATTGCCCTCAATCTCCACCGTCTGTTGCATCTGATCAGCCTTATGAAAGTGAGAAACGGAGGCCTGAATTGCCAGTGTCAGAATCACGACAGGATGAAGCAAGGAAGCAGCAAGGACAGACACGACAGCTCTCCGGCGCCAGGCAATCTGAGCTGGACCAACCACCACAAGTACAGCCATCGGCGGGGGCTCCGTTAGCCACGGCTTCGAACCAACCATCAATGGCAAGTCCGACAGCATCAGTCCAAGATCAGCCGCCAGTGGCGCCTCTGCTGGCCCTAGTATCGGGGACTAGTGGTATCTTAACCACCGACCAAAACCCGACCGAGAACGCGAACACTGTTGCTATAGCCACCCCTGTAACTAGCAAATGCAACCCGACCAAATCAGATAACCAGGGATTTACGGTGGTTACTAGGAAGACTCGTGGCCAAGGGGCCACGAGAAGAATCTGATTTTTCTTTTTTTTTTAAGGATTCCCATGATTTTTGCCTGGAATGTAAGGGGTTTAAATGCCCTAAATAAGAGTTTTTTGACGCGCAAGTGGATAACGGATAATAAGCTTCAGATCGGAGCACTTTTGGAGACTCACATTCATGAAAGGAATGTTGAGAGAATTACAAATGCGATACCAGTGGGCTGGAAACAAGTTTGCCACTTCATGGATCAGAGTTTGGGTAGAATCTGGATAGTATGGGATGCGACAATAAAGGTCATGATATACAACTTCTCCAATCAAGCTGTAACCTGCGGCATAGAGGACAGTCGACGGAATATCAGACTTACAACAACTTTTGTCTATGCAGCCACATCGGTGACTGAAAGAAGGAAACTGTGGGACGAGCTAAAAATCCTTGCTACTTATCAACCACTTCAGCAGTCCCCGTGGATAGTGCTAGGCGACTTTAATCAGATCCTTACCCCCATGGAGAGATCAGATTTTCCATCATCTAGGAATCACCAGCAAGGAATGCAAGATTTTCGTGAGTGCATTGAAGATTCAGACCTATCAGACATGCCATACCGTGGATTGACCTTCACATGGTGCAACAACCACTCCACAGACCCTCTATCAGTAAAGCTTGATCGGGCAATGACAAATGTGAAATGGAAGGAGACTTATCACACAGCGTATGCGGAGTTTACTCCCCCCGGTCACTCGGATCACACGCCTTGTATCATTCACTTCCCCGACAACCGTTGTAAGACAATCAAGCCCTTCAAATTTTTCTATCACTTAACTCTGCTTCCTGAGTTTTTCCAGATCGTGCAGCGACACTGGCTTGCATCTGACTTAGAGGGGTCACCTCAATACCGCCTCGCTTACTCCATGAAATTACTCAAGAGGCCATTACGCGGGCTAAACATAGCGCAATTCTCTCAACTGTCGCACCGAGTTCAGGAAGCTAAGGAAACTCTTGCCAAAGCGCAAGAGCGTATCCTGATTGCCCCGACGCCGAGCTTGATTGAGGAGGAAAAAGTGCAACGACGACGATATTTGATTTTGGCCTCAGCGGAAGAAAGATTTTATCGACAAAAGTCTCGCATAACTTGGTTGCGGTTAGGTGACCGAAACTCGAGCTATTTCCACAGATGTGCACAGGCACGAGCTGCTAGGAATCATATACACTACCTCGAGGATGACAATGGGAACAGACTAACCACACAAGGACAAATCATGGAACATGCCGTGAGGTTTTATTCGGATCTGTTGGGGGTTAAAGATAATGCAGTGATTTTACCTTCCATAGCGTGGCTTCAGGAACTAATTCTGTTTAGGTGGTCGGGGACTCAGGCACCAGCACTAGATGCCATCCCTTCTGATGAGGAAATCAAGCGGGTTATGTTCTCTCTGCCGGCAAACAAAGCGCCAGGACCTGATGGGTACCCAAGAGAGTTTTTCACTGAAAGTTGGGAATTTGTGGGCGGCGACGTTATTACAGCAGTCCAAGATTTCTTTAAGTCGAGCAGATTGCTAGGCCAGGTGAATGCCACTACGATTGCTCTGATTCCTAAGAAGCCAGCAGCCACTCGACTTAGGGATTTCCGACCCATTAGTTGTTGTAACACAATTTATAAGGTTATCTCCAAGATACTAGCACAACGCCTCTGATTGGTAGCATCACAGATGGTTTCACCAAATCAGAATGCTTTTCTTCAAGGGAGATTGATGATTGAAAATGTGCTATTGGCATCCGAGCTTATTCGAGAGTACAACAGGAGCTCTTCTCGAAAATGTGCGATGATTAAAATTGACATCCGCAAGGCTTTTGACTCGTTGGATTGGGGAACGATTATTCAGCTAATGAGAGCAATAAACCTCCCTCGACAGTTTGTAAGTTGGATAGCGACCTGCGTAACAACACCGAAGTTTTCGGTTGCAGTGAATGGTGAACTTGCATGCTATTTTAAAGGAAGGAAAGGTCTACGACAGGGAGACCCTCTTTCTCCTTACTTGTTCATCATGGCCATGGAAATTTTGACAGCTATGCTTAACCGGTCTGCGCAGGAAGGAAGGCTGAAGCTACATCATAAATGCCGGAACCCATTGATCACTCACTTATCTTTTGCTGATGATATCATGATTTTTTGTCAGGGGGATGTGCAGTCATTGACGGAGGTAAAAAATGTGTTGCACGCCTTTGGGGAAAAAACTGGTCTAAGAATTAATCCGGAGAAGTCCGAGTTATTCCTTTCTGGCATGAGTGACATCGAAAAGGAGAACCTGTCTTCTTCGGTTGGTGTTGCTCTCGGCTCTCTCCCCGTGAGGTACCTCGGTGTGCCACTCAGCCCTGTCCGTTTAACTAAAGCTGATTTTGCTCCCCTCATGGACAAAGTTAAAACTAAATTAGCTAGTTGGTTAAACAAATTTCTATCTGCCGCGGGAAAGATTCAACTTGTCACTTCCGTCATTTACGGGATGGTTAATGCTTGGAGTATGACATTTGTATTGCCCAAATTTGTGCTTAAAGAGATCGACAGCCTATGTTCTAGGTTTATATGGCAGCACTCAGTGGATCAGAAGCCAAGCTATCGGGTTTCATGGGCGGCAATATGCAAACCAAAGCCAGAAGGAGGACTCGGGATCCGTAGAATAGAGGAGACCCATATTGTTTTCAGGCTTAAGCTAATCTGGTTGCTATTGACGAAAGCCGGATCTTTATGGGTTGCGTGGGTTAAGGCGAATATTTTTAAGGGCAAAACTTATTGGGAAGTGAAGATGACGACCCCGGCCACCTGGAACTTGAAGAAGCTGTTACGACTTAAGGATACCGCAAGACTATTCACCAAGGTACAGCTGGGTAATGGGAAGAGCGCATCCTTTTGGTACGACAACTGGCTACCTGTTGGGCCGTTGATTGATTTCATTGGACAAGCTGGCCCTCGGTTGCTGCGGCTGCATAGTTCGGCTGTGGTGGCGGATGCAACAAGTGAAGGATGTTGGAACTTGCCGGGGGCAAGGAATGATGCCATACAACAGCTCCATATCCTGCTGCTGGAGACCAATCCCCCTAGGGCAAACCATGGTCCGGACTCCTACCAATGGCGGTTCATAGGTGATGACTTTAGACCTTCCTTCATAACAAGGCAGACATGGCAACTTTCCCGAACCCCAGGAACCTTAGTGGATTGACATAATCTGGTGTGGTTTAAGAGATGCATCCCTCGTCATGCATTCATTGTTTGGCAGATTTTTCATAGGCGGCTCCCGACCTTGGACAAACTGGCTCGCTGGGGAATCCTTGGTCCAAACCGATGTATTCTTTGTTGTCGAGATGAGGAATCACTTGAACATTTATTTTACTCTTGTGAATACAGCTTTTCTGTGTGGGAGTTTTTTGCAGGGAGGCTAGGAAGTAGGCCACTCACTATCTTCGATTGTCAAGCGTTGTTGAGACAGGTTGGCCACGATCCACGATTACCCCATCATCTCATTATGATGTTGCTTATGCAGCTTGTCGCGTACGAGATTTGGAAAGAGCGTAACAACAGAATCCACAGGGAATTGAGAACCTCCACCTCCCTCCTTCGACATAAGATTGATAGGTCGATGAGAAATATCCTTTACTCTTTGCAGGATCCAAAGAATACAAGTTCGAATGAACTCCTCCAACATTGGTATCGACTAAGCTAGGCTTTTGAAATTTCGTTATGCGTGTCTGCGTATGGGAATCCCTTTCTTGTATATTGATACTTTTGTAAAACTCTTTTGTTCGGTTGGAAAGTAATACAAGCACATTTAAACCAAAAAAAAAAAATGTATATATCATTCGTAAATTAATATGTTATCAACAAGAATTAATTAATTAACCTAGACATCGACCTACTTGTCTCCGTGGTTAGCAGGTACAGAAGCTGTGAATTTCGAAGAAACCAAGTCATGACGAATGGAAGCTTCTCCCTCGTCCATCCAAACTCCATCATCGAAGTTCTGAGAATAGCTTAGGGGATCGTACCGGAAACTTCCCTCTCTGCCACCACGTGTCACTCTCCGGTTGGCTGTGTCTTTTTGCTTTCCACACGGAAAGAGAGTTCCCCAACATGAGGAGAAGAACCCTCCTTTCTTCTTTTTGCTGTCGGATCTACGAGACTGTGATGAAGTACGGTTTTTACTCTCCGTTTTATACATTCACAGAACCCTCTCTCTCTCTTATGAACCCTCCTTTGGATTATTGTTTGTTTTGTTTTTGTTGGGGACATGTTTTGTGTTTGCGTTGGCTTTGGATTTTGAGCGCGTGGCTTGGAGAAATAATGAAAGAGAGCACGGCCTACAAATTAATTTCTTTTTAAATAAAAGCATGTGTGATTGAAATATACATTTATATAGATACTAGGTATTTATACCGCACACATCGCGCGAAGTATAAATACATATAAATTTTAAAAACTTTTATTATTAATTTTAAATTTAAATATTTTTTGAATTTATAATTCACATCTTTAAATCAAAATAATAAATAATTTTTTAAAATATCAAGATAACGTATATGTTTTTTTAAAGTGATTGTGAATAACATCTATATTTATATTTTCGTATGTTATAATATACATCAAGGGTTGAAATACAATACCGATCCTATGACTTTTTTATTTATCAAATTACATTCTAAGTATTATTTTTTTCACAAACTAAGATTTTATCATTTTTATATTAAAAAACTTAAAACTAATATTATATCATATTTGTGTGTTAGTTATATGTTACCACAATAATACTGATCAACCCGTATAAAATGAATTCACTTTTAACTTAAAAATATATGAGTCAAAGCCTTATTTAATTAGGTATTTTCACTTAGTTTCACCTATATTTTGTTAAATTTATTTTTTATTGTTCTTAGCATCTCATTATTTATTTTACATGATCCTTAAGGTTCATCTTGAACCCTTCATTTATATGATGAAAGAGTTGATTTAATTCCTTATGTGTGACACATATATTATCGTCTCATAC